GGTCAAACTTCAACTGTTTTTCCGAATTCCAGCTTCCGCTCCGAATCGCAGCTTTTACTGCGGCTGAAGTACAAGTGCATCGTCACTGGTCAGCCCTGTGGGAAAGATTGGAAGCCACCGCTGGCCAACAGCCGATCCTGTTGTGACGAACAAACACCATAGGAATAACTCAACTATATGTGACGTATTCGATACTGCTCAGCTCCCGAAAATCCCACGATGAGAGACACAGAGAAAATTGTGCTGGGGGAAGGAATAATATAGAATACGGAGCATTCTTATTCTATGTGCTGGCCATCCAATTGAAATGATCAATAAGAATCGCGTTGCAGCGTCCTCTGTCCACTGATGGACAAGGGATATTTATAGCCCAGAACATCGATGAATTCGGACCCGTCCGAAAAATTGTGCGAAAGTCTCCTTACTGCTTTGCAGCTTTTCCTCAGAAATGTAAAGCATTTTCTTCCAAATAAGCTGCTCCACTTTCACCCTCCTCTGATTCACCAGCTCCACCCGGTTCTGCCGCACCTGCTTCACCCGGTTGTGCTGCACTTGCCTCACCAGGTTCTGGTGCACTGGCATCAGCCGCTGCGAGGCTCGACCCAGAGCTTGCCCTATATGGGTTAAGTGGTCGATGCGAAAACCCACACAGACATCCACTCACAGTACCGACTTGCTCAGGGGTCTATATACCTATGTATAGTATTTTTTACTGTTATCAGTACATGAAAATCCTTTGATGAGAGGGAACAAAGAACTTTGTGGCCTTGGTTGTGCTGGTCATTGAATATGGGAGATCATTCGGAAGTGCGTTGCAAAGTTGGCTATTGAGGAGCGGGCAATGGATATCGATCGCCCAGAACACTGATATCTCTTGGCTCATATGTTCGAAACCTGGCTTTTCCTCCAAGTTCCAGCTTCCTTGCTTAACTTCAGCTTCTTCTCCGAAGTATGATTTTAAGCTCATTATCTTCTCCTCTGGGAAACCAGGCTTTTTCGCAAACCTCTCACCACGACCTCAACACTTTTGTAAAATCTCAGCTGTTTCTTTAAAATCCAGCTTCTGCTCCGAATCTCAGCTTTTTGTCGGGGCTGAACTGATCTGGTCACTGGTCAGCCTGGGAGGAAAGATAGGAAGCAATGCTGTCAGTGCTGGCCGGTCCCGTATGGCTGGCAGAGCGTCATGGGAATAAGTCAACTACATGTGACGTATTCGATACTGCTCAGCTCCTGAATATGTCTCAGTGGGAGAGCGTAGAGAAACAATGCAGAAGGGATACCCATAGCCCACAACATCGACAATTGTGGGCCCATCCGAAAAACTGTGCGAAGTGCTTGTTAATGTTTCACAGCTTTCCCTCAGATGATGTGCAGCACCTCCTTCCAAGTCTGCACCACCTTCCCCCGGTTTGGTGCACTGGCTTCGCCCTGATCGGCTGCAAAGGTGTCACCCATTGCGACCTCCTCCCAAGTTTCTCGAATCTGGGGCTACCCGAAACTTTTTCGATGTAGGCTGAGAAGTAGTGCCGTAAATCACCCAGAACGGTATTGATCGGACATCCCCGCTTAGAGTTCTCTAGACCAATGTGTAGTACTTTCTACTGCTATCAGTTTATGAAAATCTTTCAACGAGAGGGGACAGAGAAATTTACGCTGCGTGTGGGCAATGCATCGTTTACCGTTTCTCTAGGAGCTATTTATTGGATCTAGAAGATCAGTCGACCACGCGGTGGAACATTGACTGTGCGCAATGCATACCGATCCTCTTGAACATCCATGTGGACGGGCATGCAGGAAAGGATTCTATGACTTGAAGGCTTCTGATGCGACAGAATCTCCGCCTCTCCCATTATTTTTGCCTGATTTTAGCTTTTTTTTTTCAAAATCCAGCTTTTCGACCCTTCCGAGTTTCAC